AAAATGTTTATGTACCTGCCAACTTTTTCTGAGATATAAACGTGAGATTTTTATCCTGGGAGTGCTGGGATTTTTGAAGACGACACGATCATTTCCGAAGATTCCCGAAAAAGTCCGAAGTCTTCCAAAGAAGGCCGAAGTCTTCCGAAGATGTCCGAAGTCTGCCGAAATCTGCCGAAGGCGAGCTCGCTCCCAGTGCTTTTCACTTCAAAAATCAGAGATCGCGAGGAAGGTTTTGTCATTTATTCATTTTACACATGGTTTTCGTTCCTTACATGGGTCTGAGTTAACATATTTTTGGAAATTGTGTCAAGCAAGACGGCAACAACTCACATTTTTCAATCAGGCGTGAGAAATTGGCCCGCAAGCATGAGCCGGCATGAGATCGAAGTTTTCAACCCGCAGGCGTGAGACTCACGCCTAAGGTGTGAGAGTTGGCAGGTATATGTTTACCTTGTTTGCATAACCTATAACCAACACAAGAGGCTGTTGGGAGAATTCACGACAGTTGTGCAGAGGGAGAGGAGACCTTAGAGGAAGTCCGAGGGTTTGCACAACTGTCGAGAATTCTCCCAATCCATCAATTTATTCAAATAATTTACTTTCCCAACAAACAGAAGCAAATCTCTTTGTTACTGATCAGGTGCTGATTAATAAGAAATCATACTAGTCGCCAAGTGTTGAACTCAGTGTTATCAAAATATGGATTTTTCTTGCTTAAAATGTCAAAAATGCAAAAAAAACTTTGATACTACATGTTAGCAAAGATTTCCCAAGTCTAAGCATTCAAGCCGAAATGGAAAGATAAGGTAAACTTTCTGAGTTTTCAGCTCACAAGCCTTTTCAAATTCATGCCTGCATCACAACTGTGTTTATGTGCTTGTGCAAACACGCCTCTCAGCCAATCAGAGCTTGATGCTCATCATGATGACTAGAGGTTTAGGGTGTGGCACAGCTACAATGCCCACCCAGAGTCACTCATGCTCGCACTATTTACTGCCCCACAGGTGAGGTAAGAGCTAACCAGACAAATTGCATAGCAGTAACAATAACCTGTGCACAGGCCTTCCAAAATGTTGTATGGAAAGGGCTGTCATTAAGATTTCAAGTAATATATCAAACATGAGACGCAGTGTTTCATCACCAGATGAAACACCGAGAAGAGAGTTGAAAATACGACGCGCAGCGGAGTATTTTTGACGAACTTCGAGGTGTTTCATCTGGTGATGAAACACTGTGTCGAATGTTTGATATTTCTTCTCAAACAAAATCATTTTTGAAGGAGAAATTAAGGATGCAAATACTGAGCAGTTTTTCATCCGATTAAACATTAATTTTCTTTGTATTTTCTTTATCAATTATTAATGAGTTTGAGAAGTTTTCTGGGTGAATACAACAAGAAGGTAAGGGAATTCAGACAGCTAGGGATTTCTTTTCTTTTGGACGTTGCCAGGGTTCTTGTTTATGTTAGTGGGGGAAAAAACATAATAATAACATTTATTTTAAGAGGGTGACACCAATTACTATGAAAAGTATACCAAGCCCCCTGAAAACCCTGCAAACAGCATTTTCAATTGTCCCGGCCTGAGGAATGAATTACCTCTTAGTATAAGAGAGTCAAGTACCAAGTGTCAATTTTTCGTTAGAATTTGATGGCCTTTTATTATGATAAGTTTAATGTAAATTTTCTCTTATTTTACATTGTTCTTTACTCGATCATTTGTCCATTTATAGTAATTTTTTATTGAATTTTTATTTTTTATCTCATGTCTTCTGTAGTTTTTTAATAAATATACTTCTTAAATTTATGTTTTAGATAATTTTATTACTTAATTAATTCTCTAGATCTATTTATGATGTAATAATAGGTGGCTTATTTTTAAGGAGTCTTGTACTCTGTTTTAATCCTACCTCAGATTGAGCGATTGATTGATTTAATTGTCATTGTAATTGTAAATCTGAAACTTGATTAAATTAAAAATTAAATTAAATTAAATTATTGTAAAATAGTCCCAGAATTAGATTATTGTAAACTTGATGCACCTTATTTGTATTTGGTGCTAATTTGTGGTTCTTGATAAGCTATCATTTTCATTTTATGCAATGTGCTACACCATTTTATCTTACAAAGATCTTGAATACTAAAGTTCTAATCCTTTGATTGTTAGTCATGTTGCAGCATCTATTTATTGCTTTGCTCAGTTTTGTTAAGAACTTTCCAACCAAATCCACTGGCATTTAACACTCGTTGACTAGCACAACTATTCCCCTCAAAATATCTTAATGTTTATCTAAGCGCAGGCTCAGAAGTATCGAGATTCATGGTTTCCTTGGGAGCAGCCACTAAGAGTTTCATGTTTAATATAGTTAATTCAAAAAAACAACTTGTAAAGTTCAAGTATTCACACTTCTTCAATTTACAATACAACAACAAATAAGAAAAAAAAGAAGTAGAAACAGAGCTAACTATACATTAAATTAAACATAACAAAGGAAAAAAGTGTGTAGCAGCCAAAGGAGCCAAGGTTTCAAACTGGCTACTACCACAGAGCGGTTACAAGTGGGTGGAGGTTATACAGTACTTATAAAAAAGTAGTTATGGAGTTCTGGCTAAATTAATCATATTGAAAAGGAAGGGTATATATGAGTGAAAAGAACTATTTAAATTAAATAATAATATTAAATAAGAAGAGCTAAAGAACAGATTAAAGTTGTTCAAGATGTCTGACTGTCAAGTAGAAAGAGTTTATATTCTTTTTTAAGGTGTTGCTTCCCAGGTCTGTGATGCCACTACGCTAAACCTTGCTAGGCCATATTTAGTTCTGGAAAATGGTCTGCACAGGTTTGATTAGTGGCATACCTAATATTATAATTATGGACAGCCGAAGCCGGTCGAGCTAAGTCATAGAGGGCAGGAGGTGTATCCTTTTTTTGATATTGAATTTTATGCACGGTACATTTTCTGTTTCCTTTTTACCAAATTTAGGATACCCTTTGTGAGCCATGGCTTATTAAGTTGCCTTTGCTTGCTTTGGCTTGTCAGCTTGATGGGCGCATGTTTGTCTACAATTTTATTCGTACAGTTGTGAAGTTATTTTTTGTTTGTGTGTTTGAGGTCTCTTCCTACTAAAATCGATGTGATTTTGCACGTGTGGGTTAAGTTATATGCCTGAAGGACAGGGCTATTCCTATAGAGGGGGAACAACTTTTTAGCATAGTAGCTTAAGACAAGGAGGTGGTCCTAGGCATGAACCCTGTGGTACCACACATGTCAGCTAAAAGGTGTCAGAGATCCCATCTTGGAATACAACACCCTGTGTTCTATTTGACAGCTAAGATTGGAACCAATCCAGTGCCTTTCCTGTGATGCCAAATGTTTAAATAAGAAGAATGTGA